TAAAAATATATATCGTAAATAAATTATTTAGTTAGAAAAAAAGAGTTTCGATAATGTTACACCAGGTTATACCTATAAAAAAATATTTTAAACGAGAAAACAAAACAGAAATACTCTTTGTTAGACCGGACCTGCGATTTATCGGCCTTTTTTATATTTTAAATCATATAAGTAATGAATTGAAGGGAGCGTAAGTCTGGGAATAGAGCAACGTTGCCAAAGTGCGTTCAGATGCACTGAAAGTTGTCAGTGTGTTCTAAACCTGAATTTGCTGTTAGGTGTCGCATGGATATCGCTCTTAAGAAGGTATAGGTTAATACAAATTTTATAAAAAAAAAAAAATGTATAAGTAAAAATAAACATTATTATTATTATTATATGTGTGTATATAAAATTTAAGTTGCTACTGTGGCGCAGGAAAAATCCATCGATAAGCAACTTTACTTTAAATTTGACAGGTTATATACAACTCCCACCATACAAATAGCAAGTAAAAAACACGACATGCCACTTTTTGCAGTAGATGTAGGCACTAAACGCCTCGTGGCCTCGTCATCAAAAAAGTAAAACTTTACCATCACCTTTTCTGAAGTTTGAAGAAACATATTTTTATTTGTATTTAGCTTGTCGACGTATTGCAAAGGTGATTTATAATATTAAACTTAAAATTAATGATTTGCTTAATTTTACGAATAAAAATGCTGATTATAAGTCGAAATTAATTCTACGAGTGTGCATTTTATGTATTTCAATAAACAATTAAAATGTCGATTAGTAATCAGTAAATATTGAAATAATTTAGTAGTTGGGTTCAATGTAAAATACTACTTATTTTACGTATAGTTCCATAATATAGTATTCAAAATAGAAAGATCACAGTCATAAATTTGATATAATGAGAGATAAAATTACTTTCAAATATTTCAAAATTAGACACATAAAATGTTTTTGTCTGATAAAAATATTATTTATTATATTAATAGTTAGGCATCTATATGAAAATATTTTTGTGCGACGTAAATATTGTTGTTGGATATATTTTTTTTTTACAATAATTTAAGGAATATGGAAAGGACAACGGGCAGAAATGTATGAGAAATTGCCCCATTTTTTTTACAATTTAAGGAATATGGAAAGGACAACGGGCAGAAATGTATGGGAAATTGCCCCACCCCCAATAAGGATAAGTTATATAACAATTAAAAAATATTTTTAAGGAGAATATTGTTTTCATTGCGACTCATCTCAATTACTTGTCCTTTCCAAGTTATATCATCTTAAATGTAACTAATTACATGATAGGCCTGTGTTTATAATCTGTTATTGTATTGCTTATTACAGGGTGTGGCAACCTATACGCGTTGGTCCAGTCTATGACGATTTTTAAAAAAAATCTTTTTTACAGGAAGATGATTATTGGAGCTAAAATTCAAAAATATTAAACGTGCGCGTCCGATTAGAAACAAAAAAAAAATCGTCAAAAACTTGACAACTACGCATTTTCTTACCACAGGATTTTACTTGATGTTTACTTGTTATCATTACAAGCATTCCCATAGTAACTGTTACTCCATGGCTGATTTTAGCCAAACTAAAGTGAAATTAGATCATCTATAACTTGGCAGATAAGCATTTCCTCACCACTGGATTTGGATTTTTATTTAGTCGTTACCATTAAATCATATATAACTTATGGCAACAATGTATAACTGATTTCAGCTAAACGAAAGTTAAGCCAAAAAGACCTACGATTCGTCAAATGTAGCATGATAAAAGTCTCGGATATACCCCAAAGTCCATTCGCTTTATTTATTGTTTGAATGTAAAATGGATGAAACAAAAAGTTACTAAATTTTGGCACGTCGTAGATTAATTAAATCATGTTATTGTCATGTGGTTGTTATCAAAATAATTTTGAATTTGTTAAAAATATGTATATTTTGATATTTCAAGAGTTTTTATAAGTATTCAATAAAATGGTGTTCAATCAAAAACCTTAATCCTAAACGTAGTTTCCTATTTTAACAGACACAAATCTATTTTCGAGGCTCTTGGAAAGAGGTACAATCAAATGGCTGCAGAGGCATTAAATATTTCGCAGAAAACTATAAACTTAGTAAACCAACAAATTCTGATACAAAATAATGTCTAAAAAAAGTAAGCCAAAGTAAAACAAAAGTCAATTCTTTAATATGAAGTAATTGAGGCAAGTTATATACGATTTACGCAACATTTAACAATAAAATTGTTACATAAACGATTTTCGGAAGAAATGCCTGATGTGAAATGTTCTGCACGGTCAATTAATACATGGATTCGAAAAATTGGCTTTCGCTTTAAAAAAAGCAACAACAGAGTTTTTATTGGAACGAACATCGATTCAGTTAAAAAAATGTCGTTTTTGAAAAAGTTTAACAAGGAGATAGAGCTGGGTAAATTTAAGCCTGTATTTATGGATGAGACGATCTTATTTGCATACTTTTTATAATGAAAGTAATTCCTAAATTCGAGAAACGCTAAAATGGTGCTTCTCATCTTATCGAGACTGAGGCACACAAGGGTAAACTCGTAGCGTAAAAAAACGAGAAATGATTTGACTTGCAAGGAAAAACTGAAAGCCGATAGTAGTAAAGACGTTGAATTTTTGGTTTGTGAAGCATTGGCATTGCTTAGGTAAAACCAGGTGATGATTTTCACAAGCCTTGATTTTTAAAACCATCCTATATCGTCTTTTGATTAGGGTTTACAAACTTGTTCGAGCAATTTATCCTCTTAAACCTGCTCGTGTAAAATATTTGGGCTCCTTACTTCGCCTATTTATCTAAAAATATTTGGTCCCTTTTAAATATGTCCATGTAAAAATTATATGATCCCTTTATCCCCTTAGATTTGTTCATGTAAAAATATTTGCGCCCATTGTCGCTTAAGCCTACTTACGTATAAACATTTTCTTTTTTAATTTTGATAAATCTATTAATACCAATTCTTTGGGCAGTGCATTTATCATTCTGATAGTTTAAAAATAGTAGTGTTGGACGACTACTGATGTATTTTTTACATATATTTTTTAAAACTTTTCGGTTATTAATAAGTTGTTTTTGTCTTGGTTTTGGAAAAATTTACTAAAAAAGCTAATCGGTATTGTAAATCACTAATTTTCATGCAATGCATCTCATTAGCCGGACAAGCTTTCATTATGCCTATTATTAAAGACTAAGAAATAATACCTTATTGTAATATATGAAGAAAAACCTTAATCAATAGACTTTTATCGTCTAATACTTACTAAAAAAGTTGATCCAAGGTCTTGAATATCACTAATTTTCATGAAATACATCTCATTAGCCCGACAAGCACCCGTTTTCATCCGTTATACTTAAAGGAGTACGTTAAAATTTTACCCTCAACATTTCTGGGCTGTTTTCAATAAGGGCGTTCAATTATTTAAAAAATTACAGATTTTATTTTTTTGTTGTTAAACGTAATGTCACTATTCATTGTCTATTTTTCGTTTTTTCGATTTTTTCTATTTGATTTTTCGATTTTCGTTAGTGGATCGTAGAAAAAATATACTGTACAACTTGAGTGTCCATATCCATTCTTGTTACACAAACTACTAATTTTCTACACCCGCATGGATATTAGCTTATTTATCTACGCACAGACTACAAAACGAAAAAGTATGTCATTGCGTTAAACTGAACGAATATATTTCATATCCATTCAAGGTAGTGAGAACACTGCAAAAAAAATGAAATCCACCAATCACAATTCCAGTGGCGGTTTGCCCGTAAGGGCACTTGGGCACGTGCCCTAGTATAATAAACAAAAAAAAAAAAATAATGCGTTAACAAGTTAGAATTGTTAAGTAAATTGCATTCTTCTGAGAAATTACGCAAATTTCGCAAGAGTGGATATGTAATGATTTTTTGATTAAATCGTTATTGCCCCAACTGATTGTTTTGAAATATATTTCATTTTCATTAAGCGGAGAACTTGTTTTCCTAAGGGAAAAACGAATCCCGGGATTCCTTTCCAGTGTGTGCCACACTGCCGCTAGTGCACAATTCATAATTTGGACACCCAATTACTATTATTTTTATAATTTTAAATAAGGTGCATTGTTGCAACTATCGAAGTCGCAACCCTCCTTAGAAATATCACCTTTACAATCAGCAGCTGTTGTTTGAAAGGTCATTGGAGAATGTTTGCAATGTATGGAATGTTAGACGTTAGGAATGCGTAAAATTAGTCACATAAGAAATGCATGGGAGGATTTTAAGAAAATTAATATTAAAGTAGTTAAGATGAACCGAAAATTCTGAAAATCAATAGTTAGAAGCAATTATTTAAGAATATCAAAACCGCAAGTCAATCAGAACTTTCGTTCTAGAGTTATCGTGCCGGCATACATACGCACAGACGAAAATTTTTTTTTGCATGATCGGAAACGTGAAAAAATGGGGGAAAGAATTTTTTTTCGTCTGCACGAATTCAATACTGAGGCCCCATACGAAGGGCCTCAGTAATTTTTTAATGTCTACAATAAACGCCTACATCCTATACATGTATAGGTAATATATTAAATAAATACCTATTAAAATAGAATCCCTTATCGGTCTTTATCATATTTCTTATCTCCTAGAAATATTTTCGATTGACAATATAAGTTATTTTGCTTAATTCAGTTCTTTGACCTTTAAATGGTTATTCAGGTATATTTTATTCTCGTTAGAGGCAATAATATTCAAATTAAATATATCAGCCGTCCTTTGCCCTTTAGATAATTATAAGAAATAATATGAGTGTTTGTCACTTTGAATTTAAGCTGAAGCGAGACAAACTCTGTCGGGAAAGAATGAAAGTTCAACTATAAATAGAAAAATTGAATATAATTGCAAACAAATATTTATTTTAAATGATTTAGTACAGTTCTGAAAAACACTTAAAATGTAAAAATAGTTAAAAATGTACAATTTCTAAAATCGTTTAAAATGATGTACCTACCTACCTTATTATAAAAAAGTGGATTAAATATTGTTAGTTATAACAAAAATAGCTATATCGTAATGACTATAAAAAAAATAACCATTAAAATTTTGATCACATCATTTATTACATTTTCCACAGGACCGAAAGATAGACATTTTTCAAACGGATCTTAAAAAAATATGTCTCTAAAATACCTAACTATTTCTATCTTCTGGTTTTTTATACGGATAATCTATTATATCGAAAATATCTTCTTCAGATGAAATTTCAACGGGTTCCCCAGGTACACCTAAAATCGTAAAATCGTATTTAATAAAATTTGCAAAATTGGGAAATGTTTACCTGTGCTTCCAACTGGTCTTAAAGTGTATTCGTTGAGAGTAAATCCTTGTTCTAAAGCGTGTGCTCTCATTGATTTATTAAACACATCCGAACCGGTGAAATATAGAATAGAGCAGTAATATTGATCATGTGGGGTTAATCGGATGTCTAATCTCCTAACAGGATGTTCGAGATCTAATCTGCAAGCGCCCTAAAATAGTCTTATTAATTTTGCATTCATACCATAATATTCAAAATTCAGTTAGCTGTGTTGATCCTTACGCTCCATTCCGAAGATCTTCAACATCATTTTAGAAATAGAAGGCCAAAAACAATAATGCAACCATTTTCTTCTTCATGTGCATGGTTGAATTGTGGTAATGAGAGGTGGGAAGTGCGGAAAATGTTGGTTTATGATTGTCAATTATTGTGGTTACATTTACCGCACTTCCCACATGTCATCACCCCAAATCAACTACCCACACAAAGAAGTGCGCCCAAGCGCAGTTTTCGTATAGCGTTAACTGGCTTATGCCAGGCCCTGTATATTTCAAGATTAGCCACTCGGAAATCCTAAATCATGTATTAATAGTCATTACATGAGAGTTGCATACACTATTTTTTCTACGACCAAGAAACTATTTCAATTCAACAATATTGCTTTATTTTTTAATACTTTTTTATGCAAACAAGAAATAAAATATGAAAGAAAAATAAGTTCTTCGACCTATTTTTTATTCCTACACAATAACCAATATAATAACTATGATGATACATTTTCACCTTTTCAGCGATTTCAGGTGGTGTGCATGAAAACTTTTCGTCCCTCCACATTTTTTTAAAAATAAGTGAGAGGTACCTCTCTACCTTTTTGACTAATGCAAATAATTGAAACCGTCATAAAACACGAATCTCTAAGAAACTGTCATTCTACAGAAAATATTGGTTATTTAAAAATCTAAATTTCTATTGGTCAATTTTTCAGTTTCATAATGAAAACCAGTGTTATAATGAGTATTATTATGAAACTGAAAATTAACAACTTATACGAGTAGAAAAATAGTATATTACATTACGAGTGTGGAAAATCACTTTTCACACAAGTGATGTACAATATTTTTTCTACGACCACAAAATAATTTCATCAAAAAATGAAAAACAAGGTTATTATAATAATTAAAATGTATTTAAAAAAAAATACGTGTGGCACTCGGGGACTGCCGCGGTAAAGCTATTGCATAGCATTTTTTATCAACTTATGCAATTATAATTATTTATTTATGCCGTATTTTTTTTCTTTGATATTAATTCAAGTTTTTTCTTTGATATTAATTCAAGTTACACTTTTTGAGCGTGGCAGCCGATAAGAAAAAAAAATTTTTTTTTTAATGAATAAATATTGTTTAAAATATTTTTATTATCTTACAATACATGTAGGTTATTCAGGAATTTTTATCATTGAAACTATAGGTTTATGGTAACTGAAATAAGAAACATAAATTTGAGACTTGATATCCTCTAAATATCTGGAAAATACCGCGTCAATGGTGGTCCCATATTTTGTTGTGGATTCTTGTGGATCATTATTCATTTTCAAATTCAATTTTTCCGAATTGTGTTATTTACGCCAGCCGGGAACATTTGTGATACCAATTTATTAGAAGCCAGAGAAAGCTCTTCTAGTTCTTGTATTGCATACACGTTCCAGTCCGCAGACGTATATTTAACTCCGCTTCATGCTAATACGAATAGAGTCGGATAAAACCTTCCATGGCTTTCAACGCCGCACCGCTGTGCCGGTCGGAGTGGGGGGTGTTAGGTTTACTTTCGTTACGGAATTTCTTGATTCGGTCGCCGCGCTCAAAGCCCGCGATAAAAGCTATGCAATAGCTTAAAAACAATTAATAATAATCGTATTTATTCAATTTTCAGATTTTCTAAACAAAAAAAAATGGCAAAGTTGATAAAGTTTGATACTTTACCACCTGAGCTAATAGGCCTTGAATCAATTGAATGATCTAATCGGAATAAACCAGAATAAAAAGCAAACAACTTAGTTAATTTAAAATTATTTTAATAATAATTGTTAATGATAAATATCTAGGATTTAATTTACAACAATTTCAATAATTTAACAATCATATCGATTTTAGTATTAATATGGATATTACATAGATCAAAATAGAAATGATGCGTTTGACATTTTGTGACAGCTGATGCGGAAAGTAGCATATTCGCCCACGGGTGGAAAGTAAATTCTTATTCTTACGCGTGTGATATAGGGCACTTTCCATAGTGTGATATGTGTCACTTTCCTAAGTGGTCGTAGGAAAAATATTTATTGCCCAGTCTCAACCACTGAGACCATTTATTAGATTCAAAAAAAATTGTGAAGCTTGCAAACGCCTTCGGCTGCATAAGGTCATCTTTAGGCAAAGGATAACAAAAATTTATAATATTTATGTTATGACTGAATGAAAAATTCAAAGAAGAGTAATCGTGCTCTCTCTCTCTCTCTTGCAAACAGTAACCGCTTTAATGAAATCTAATCTCGACACTAGGAATATTTTTGAGTTAAACTTTACCAAAAACCACCATTCTGGCAGTTGCAATGGAAGCATGTGCGAAGCTTAAAGATCAATCCTCTAGTATTCCCCAAATTTAATTTCAAATTATTCCCTTTATTTATTTCTATATTTTCTATTATAATATTTCTTAATACATCTCCAACTATCATTTAAGTTATATTTATCATATTATCCTGGAATACATACCATAAACTTAGTCTCGCCCAAGGAAAGTGTGTCTGTAATGAGACCACACTTTTCTAAAACATTAACAATATTTTTGAGCATATTGTTTTTGTGTTTTTTATCCACTTTATCGCTTGTCCAACTAGGGTGAGTTATTAGGGTGTCAATATCTCCACTTTCTGATTTTCCTCTTCTAAAATTCATTCTTAATTATTCTTACAGCAGATATTAGTAAAAAGCATAAAATCTATTCAATAAGTACATGGCAATCATACAGATGGTGGATGGATAGTGATCTTAGAGCCGATTCGACCGTTATGTTAAACGAAATTTAAATTACTAAACGAAGATTAAAATGACATTTTTACATTAACAATGTCCTGTAGTGCAAGACCGGTCCTGTGCACATTATAACTCATAAAGCAAGGGTTTTCGCTTTGTCCCCAACCATCTACACAAGCCTAGAGTTGTTTGGAACATAACATTTCTAATATAAATAGACCCTTTGTAGATAGTTGGTTAATTTATAATTTTTAATATAAGTGTTGTATAGTAAAGATCAATTAGAATAGTAAAAATGCCTAAGTATTAAATAAATTAATTAGTACGTTATAAATAAACTGTTTTTAATAAACCATTTTTAAATTAAACAATTAAATTGGAAGGTGTAGAAGAATTGTTCAATGATCACTATTATAGTATGCTCAGATTTTAAGTAATTTGAATCATATGGATATTTTTTGTAAAATCATTATGACCCAAAACAAGAAAAATATGTGAAACTACCTTTACGAGCGTAGGAAGGGTTGGTTCCCCAAATAGAAAAATTGAATTTAAAACCTACTAAAAACGCGTCCATGAAATTAATTGAGACTAATGTGAAATTTATTATTAGGAATTTTCGACCTTCAAATCTATCAACAATTTGTTCACATTTATTCTTAAATATATTGTAGCAGATACTTTTTTTTTAATATATAAGTGCCTATATCTTGTTAAATTATCATTTAAAATATTTTTCGTTTTTTTATTTGGGAAGTTGTTTACACTTTAATTTTGTTAATCGTTTTTTATTGAATATATCACAAGTTCTTCTCCAAGTAAAATTTGTACCAAGTTCCATAATTGTTCTTGGAATGAAGAAACAAAAACTTTGTTGAAATTTGAGGGCACATAGTACCTCTATTAAGCTGGCAGAATCGATTCAGATCTATTGCATTATTTTGTAGGTACTTATTTGTAATAATTTGTACCACCAATAAAAATTTTGTAGTCATACAGTTAAAAAAAAAGTAACCTGATGCTTGATATTAGGTAGGGTCCGATTACAATTAGAAGAACACAGCTACGTCATCATTTGGCAAATAGGAAATATTGTTTTACACCTAACAACTTGCTTAATTTTAGTTTATTGATAGTTATAGATAATATGCATTCGAAATTCGAAGTAATGGTTATGACGTAGCTGTGTTCTTATAATTGTAATCGGACCCTAGAATTGAAAAGGACTGAATTTGTACCACCAATATGTCGCTCATTTTTTATTAGAGTTGCCAGATGTCCGATTTTTGTTGCACGCCGCGCCCGGTTGAAAAAAACTTGGTAAACCGGACAACAGAAAGTCCGGTTTTTTGTTGAATTCATAAAAATTCTTGTAATTTGAGAAAAAATTACAAATGTTATGGTTAGAATTAAAATACATATGGCATTGAGGAAAGGCTATCTTTCAGAGTATCAATCAAAACAATTTACGAAAAATGTTCTAAATGTTTACCAAAGAGCTGGCTTATATAAAGAAGTGGTCCCTTTGAGAATAATTTCAAGACTGTCTTTTATACCTAGAAACTGGAATATTGCCTACACTGGATTATCTGATTGATTTGTGATTAATTTCTCCCTGGAAACAGGAACCCCACCTGAAAACATGTATGAAGAACTGGCTGCATTACAAAATGTTTTTTCTGCACTTGAAGGAAAAACAGTGGATATGAGGTATACATTTTCAGGAATGAAGCAGCACCAAATTTGCTCAAAATAATTCAATGTTTGCAGAATTCCTATATCGAATGCCTTTGTCGAAAGGATATTTAGCGTTATGGACGAAAGAAATCGTCTGTCCCTAGAAAGTGTGAAAAGCCAACTTTGCGTTTTCTTTAACATCAATAGCAGTTGCACTAAATTCAAAGATACCATATCATGCAACAGAGACTTGTTAAAAGCACTTTTATGATTTTTGTCTTTTGGATCTGACATCATGTTACTTGTTTAATAAAATATCTGGCAACCCTATTTTTTATATATAAATATACTTGTACTTTGACTTGTTCTCTATGTAATATTCATATATTGATGATTATATAGTTAACATATTTTGGCGGCATAATAGGTGAAAAATGTGTATGATAGATAAATAGGCATATCTATTCGATTTTCAGTTAGTTATCAAACAATATTTGTATTTGCTTTTTCAATTACCTGTAACTACCACAAATCGAGATTTTGTACTCAGGGTCAATGTTCTTTATATATTTCACTAATAATTTTTCAATTGCTGCAACCTCCTGCCTTGGAATTTTTTTTTCAAAATCTTCAAAATATCTTAAAGGATAAGAATAGAGGTTATTGTAATTTTAATGATGACCTTTAAATAATGGCACTATTTAAAAAATATATATAGGTAATTAAGAAATACATAAAATTACTTTCTATCAGGCACTTAAATATTGGTTGCTACCGACTGCTATTCCTCCTGGCAATGGCAAGATACTGGTGCAAATCCGGATCAGAGTAAGTTTTTTTTCTTATTAAAAGAAAATAATTATCACTAGGCAGGAATTGTCCAATCAACCATTGTATATTTATGAGGAATTCAGTGTTCAAATCTGGCCAGAATTCCTTAGGAAATCATGAAATCACTTAAAAATTGAAGAAATCAGGATGAAGTTATTTTAGAACATATAAGAGAACTCTGCAAAACAAACAGCCAGCAAAGTTTGGAAAGCTGTGTGGAAACAATAACTGAAAGATAGTATGCATTCTTTTACACTGATGGGTGGTGTATTGGTCATTTATTGAAATATGCCTATACCTACCATGAGTAGGATTGCCACATTTCTGGAAGTGAAAAGCGTGGCAACCCTGACGATAGAGCATTTTTATATAATCAGGTCCATTTTTTGTGAACATTTCTAAAAAAAAATTTTAAAAAACCGACTTCAAAAACGTGCAGATGCCATCACCACATTTTAACCAAATTTATATGGGACCACCCTTGAGGTACCCCCTTACTAATAAAAAAAGAATCGTATAAATCGGACGAGGTGGTAAAGCATTATCGCTAAACATACATAAAAAATGAAGACTGAGGATTTTCTCATGGACCCAATGATTAGATTTTGACTAAATTTATATGGGACCACCCCTGAAATACCCCCTTTCTAACAAAAAAAGAATCATTGAAATCGGACACCGTATTAAAGAATAATCGCTGAACATACATACATACATAAAAAAAAATATGGCAACGAATTGATAACCTCCTCCTTTTTTGAAGTGGGTTAAAAAGGTCCTCAGCTTATTTTTCGTAAAAACGACGGTCTTTTACCAGGATATTTCTCTATTTTTGAATACCTAAATCCGATTCTTCTGCGGCTTTTAAAAAGCGTGGAATTTGCATAAAAGCTTACAGACAAGTCAAAAAGTGTGGCAATCATGCCAAAAGCATGACGTCTGGCAACCCTAACCATGAGTTAGTGAAAATAAGTTTAGTTTTTTATTGTCAAAAGCTCTTATTTAAAAAATCTGGCCATTTTCTTAATTTAATAATAAAAATGAGTGCCATTACTTAAATGAGTTCTTAATTGTATAGTCATATTAAACACACTTGAGTCCAATTATCTGGTGATGTGTTAATTTATCAGTGTTTTTATTCAATTCTTCTAGACTAGTAATGCCTTCCTTGACCAAACTATGAGCTTTTGCAGGTCCTATACCTGTGACTCTAGTTAAAAGATTGATAGCCTCATTCTTTGAATCGCCATGTATCTACAAATAATTTTTGTTTTTTAAAATAGTAAAAATCGGTGAAATCATGGAGTATTGTGCATCAGACATTCAATACTTTTAATAGCCAACGAATTTAGACGTTTTTTTTTAGAGTATTTTTTTAACTCACGTTTTCCAATTTCTGTAGCTTTCCCGTAGCTAAAAACTCGTCTATTTTCTTTCCTATCTTATCACCTATACCCTTCAGACATTTAGCTTCAGTTCCAGATTTAATTCTACTGGGATAATCTGCTAAAGTTGCCGCCGCTTTTCTGTATACGTTATATTTGTGTATGTCCCTACTAACATTTTTTTCATATTCAGCCAGTTCTGCAAGACAGATTTGATAATTAGATAAACAACAACAGAGAATTGAGAGTATATACCCATCAGAAAATTACAGAAATCATGGTTTGGATTGTCTTCTGTAAAGGGATTTTTTCTTTTACTCATTTGAAATTTAATTTTTTGTATTTATTTATTATGTATTTATTTGCGTGCTATTAGTTTCTCTTTGAATTGATAATGCGCCACAGGCCACAGTAATCACAGACCATACCCTCACAGAACACTTACTCTCATACCCTTTAACTATACTCTTTCAGAGACAACAGAGACGTGTAACTTAATAGGAAAATATGTTCGGTGGTCCATTTAAATTACATATATGACCCTCTTTTTCTTTTACATTGATCTTTACATATGTCTATCTCTCTCCAATAAAACTAACACCATTTTCAGAGGGCGCTGGTGTTGCTGGTTTTTTGACGTCGAAATATTGATTAAAAGTATTAAAACTGACACTGACAACTGACAATGTTATGAATTTGTTATGAACATGTGCATTTTATTAAAATTAATTTAATTTGGGCCCCGTATATTTCTTTTAGTCTGATTTTGTTGTTTAATTAATTTTCTTTGGGGGGGGGGGAATGTTTATTTTTGCATATTATTTTTTGCATGAAGCAATTTCTGGAACCAAACTCGCGTTTTTGTACACATTTCTTTCTAGAGGTAAGTAAATTCCAATTTATTAAGAAAACCACTGTATAATGTGTGTGTTTAATAATATATTACACAATGACTATAATTATTTTAGGTGAATTGGAACAGAGATCCATTGTTACAGATACTTGTGTTCATTAAGACCGCTATTTCTTACATACACCTACCTCTAACAGCCACTCTAAAGGAAGAAAAAAAAATTGAATCACAAAAGGGCAGAATTTTAAATCAGGATGCATTGGAAAATAAATTTGGGGACATCAGGTCGGTTTTGGATTTTATAGAGAGATCAATCTCAAGAAAAGTGAATTTATCCTGCAGAACAACCAGTAGTTTAAGTAGAAATTTTCTTTGATAATAAATTGTAATATAGGTACCAATTATTGTTTCAAATGAAATTGAAAAAGAGTTAAATATGAAATTAGATTTTTCATGAGTAAAATGTTATATTCATTCGAACATTGTAAGGTAATCTATAATTAAGGGAATATGGAAAATAGGTATACCCTGGTGGTGTAAGAGAAAGGTAAGGGGCAATTACAAAAATGTATTTAACTTTAAATAGTGTTTATTATTAATAATATTATTTGCTATGTTTGAAAAGTACCTCCTGCTTCCAAACAGATCGAATAGATTAGACTACTAGTTGGAGAAGGTCCACCTAGTAACCAAATTAGGAGACTAGGAAAACTTTTACATGACTGGGGACACAACAGGAATGCACACACACAAGATACACAAACAAACGAAATGACAGGGGTAAGCCTTCAGCAAAGTCCTGTTTAAATGATGATAGTATGTCATCCTTCATTCCCTTTTAGAAGGCATGGAATATAAATCTATTGATATTGATTACTATAAGAGGAGTTAGCAGGTTTCGATCCAGTTTACAGGATGGGAACTTACTTGACTCGGGCCTTATACATTTGTGTTGAGTGTATGTGTGTTTCGTTTCCATGGTTTCTATTAAAATAAACAGTCATAACATATCCATACCTTTTTGCCAGACTAACATAAGTGACATTTGTTCAAATGGCACTTATGATAGTCTGGCAAAAAGGTATCGATACTATACTTTATAAAATATTTGTTACATTAGTTTTTAAATATATTATGAATATATAACAACTGTTACTTTCTTTGTAATTTGTCACAAAATGATAGGAGGTACTTTCTAAACGAAGCAATTGTAGTTTGTTTTTCTGTACCTTACAAAAATATAATTTATAGAAAAAGAGTTTGGTGTATTATTTTTCCAAGTTTAAATATTTAATAATCCATAGAAATTTCAAGTTTTTTTTAGCGAAATTTACAAGAGTAATAAAAACTATGTTCACTGTTTATATTAAACTGATTAAAACTTCCTTTATTAAAATGATTATTAATGTGATAAAAAATTTGATGTTATTGGAAGCTTTTATATTTTTTTAATATACAGTGAAACAATAGTTTTTGTTTCTCCTGTAAATTTGTATAGACAAACTATTTACTTCTGAATCCATGTTTGAATTTCCCGCCCTAAAGCATTTTTAATTTTCCCGCTATTTACTAGTGGCGCCATCATAGACTGGTTGTGGTTACAATCGCCCAAATAACTTGTACCGAACAAAAAAAATACATTGAGTTACACGTCTCGCTGGATTGTCTCTGACTCTTTGCTTTAACAGTAGGTGCGTTTTATTCATCCATTCTCTAGTAGAAAAAGTTTGAACAGAATTTGCAAACGCAATAAAACGATAAAATTGTCATCTGTCAAGAATGTCAAATTTAAAATCTATTGCTGCGTTTGAGAATCCACATCGGATGCATTTTTTACATCTCGAGCGTTTTTTTATCCACATCGGACACATCTGTCCCATTACATTTACGTATACTGAATCACGTGATCAAAGATTTTTTACATCTCAGATGCATCCGATGTGGATTCTCAAACGCAGCAATTTGCGTATACTGCATCACGTGATCAAAGATTTTTTACATCTCAGATGCATCCGATGTGGATTCTCAAACGCAGCAATCGTTTGATTTATCCATTATCCCGCCCACAGAAATAGTTAATATTAATTTAAAAATGGAAATATTATTACCGATATTTGGAAGTATTGCAACTTAATAATCATTTGCTATTAGCTGCACCAAGATTTCCAGTTGACATTATTAGATTAATTATCGAGAAGAATGAAGTATAAAATTATTTTGTAATATTTTTAATAATTCAAAATATTTACTTCTAGTATGACCAATGATGTTATAGCGAAATCTCAATTTGTTACATACATGTAAACAATAAATAAAATATGCTGTCTTTGTTGAACCAGAAATATTGTCCACTTTCATCCTGTACAATTTGTTCCATTTTTTACAACCTGTATCAGAGTCAAAGATCCAAAGCCCAATTGAATTACGATTTACGAATTTTACGATGACAAAAATAATTAAAAATTATAAGTATTATAACTCATAACCTTACTATAGAGAAAGTAAAAGTTGAAAAGTCTTTTGGTAGGTAGAGAGGGGGTAAACGTCAAACCACGTCGGGCGGCTCCGAGAATTTCACAGTAATGTTTACCTGCCAGTGTCGTTTCATAGAATAAGTAATTTTAAATTGTTATCGGCGGAACCGGACAATCGCATGTATTTATGGATTATAAATAATTATTAAACATGTATTATAATATTCAAATTATAATTTTACAAAATTTCAACAGCTATTCACAATTTATTAAACTATTTACTCGAAATTGTTATTAACATCTATAAAATAATTTTGTACGCCAATGTATCGTGTCCACTTCGGTGAGATCCGCTGACAACCTGTCAATTTATGTGTATAAAGTGGGAGAACTGGCAAAAGCATTTCCAACTTTTACTTCTGTTCTAATAAACTATTTTTGGCACATAAGTTTGATATACCAATACCCCCCACTTTTTTCATTCCCTTCATTCGGTCAAAATTCACCGAATGAGAAGTTTGAGCGGAATGAATCAATCGATACAATAAAACGCTCATTCTGTTCAGACTTTCCACACCGGTGGCAAAAGATTGAGCAATAAAACGCGCCAAGTAATGCGCTGGTCAGTAATGATCACAGATTACATATTTAAAGTAATGATGTATTTATGCTTTATGGTTCCACTGCACATACTTTGATTTTCTTTACTATACGGCGCAAGAGAGAGGTCCGACACGCCCAACATAGGTCCCGGCCATTTTGAACCCTATGCAACAGTTAAGGTTTGTAGCTATAGCTAAAGAATCAGATCGCTCACTCTGCGTCGGCACTTTTGATCTCAATGTTCCAGTTTATACACTGCGCAACTCGGATAATACAATATATAACAACCGCCTATAATAAAACAGCTGTCTTCTGCGTATCCTAAATTTGTATCCCTGGGGGTCGATTCTCGACTCGTAGGAATTTTTTCCTATAGGAATTTTTGACATTTTTCTACACATCGGAAATTTATGACATTTGTCTACATGTAGGAAAGTGTCACAAATTCCTATAGGAAAAGGTTCCTACAAGTCGAGAATTGACCCCCAGGGGGTCGATTCTCGACTCGTAGGAATATTTTCCTATAGGAATTTGTGACACTTTCCTATATGTAGACAGATGTCATAAATTTTCGATGTATGTAAAAATGTCAAAAATTCCTATAGGAAAATATTCCTACGAGTCGAGAATCGACCCCCTGGAGTGGATCTTATTATAGGTGAGTTCGGGCTACGCACTCTTTTCACTATATTCACTCCTAAAGTACCTAAGGCGTTCGGGAACGGAAGGAGTTAAAATAAAAGTTCCTTTTTGACCGTTCGGAGATCGTGGAGTGGAGTGTGGATCGGGCATGCGCATAAGGTGATTTAAATAGATAATAAGATAATTGTGACTAATTCTAAAGAGAAAATGCTTTTTATTTGGTTCCCGTGCATACCATTAATATGGAAGAAACTTATACGGTTGTAATTGATAAGTACGATTAGGTTTTAGATATTAGTATGTCACATTGACAACTGATATTAAACTCTGAGAGTAAAAGGAGTAAAACCATATGCGCACTCCGTCTACGCCTATTTACTTCACTCTACTCTGGAGTGCGCAGCCCGAACTCACCTTTTGAAACTTTCAACTGGTCCGAGTAAGCTAACTGATTCTTTAGCAATAATCTGTGACTCAAAAAATAATATCATAGGAATTCATTTTCCTCGGAATCGAATTCCTACAAGTCGAGAATTGACCCCCTGGGGGTCGATTCTCGAGTTGTAGGAATTGATTCCGAGGAAAATGAATTCCTATGATAATATTCCTACAGTTTTAGTTGTCGGTATTCTCGAGTACAATAGGAATCCAATTTCCTGTAGGAGTTCCAATTTCAGTATGTCGTTGATAATTTCAAGATAACGCAGAAACGAGCCAATGGAATGTATTTATTTCTGTTAAATATAGTTGTTTAACAGTTGGCAACAAGGCAATTTGTCAAAAATATTTGATTTTCTGGATGTACTGGTTATTTATTTTTAATATTTTTTATTAGCAGCAAAAAGAGAAAACGAAAAAGTTTCAGAAGGACTACCATTGTGATTACCGTTATTCAGGGCCGACTAGAGGGGCTGTAGCCGGGACTAATTCCCAGGGCCCGGACTCAAATGGGGGCCCGGCAGCGGTATAAGGGGGGCCCGGCAACTGGAATTTTTGTTTTGTATGAGAAAAGAAATTCGACACAAGACGAGAGGGGGAAGTTTTATAGGTTCGGAAGCTTTTTTTTTTTAGAAAATTGAATCCAAGTAGAGGAGGAAAACTTTTTGTTTGAAGAGCTGTTTTTTTTTGTCACGGGGCCCGATCTAGAGAATTGTCCTGGGGCCCGGCTTGGCTCTCGGCGGCCCTATCGTTATTTATATTTATAAGTAGAAACTAAAGAAAGTAACTAGTACAAATGTTTTTCCTACACCAAAAGGTTAATGCTTGTATCCTCTAATTTCTAATTTGAAATACAAAAATATAGGAATACTTTCAATATTTACCAAATTATAGTAAAATTCACATCATACATCATTATAACTTGGTTTGGGCTCCGTCGAGGAATCCTGATGTGCGAATTTCAAACAAGACTCAAAAGTACCTAATCAGTTTCTTTGGTAAATTTTCATAAATAATTTATGGATTTTGGTTTACTTTATTTATTGACTTAAAGACATTTCAAATAGGATAATTTTACTCGTCAAATTAAAATTAACTTTTAATAATATATGTAGTATGTTTCTTTTTTAAATGAGTTTGGAATCGCCTAAAAAGTAAGCATAAATCAATAACCACATTAAACAAGCTACTATTGCGCAAGCCCGATTACAAAATCTTGTAGGAAAATTAAATTCCCTGTCTCATGAGCATGGGAATTCATTTCCTATAACTGCTTAGGAAAATATTCCTACAACTTGACTCCAGAATACGTAACCTACTTTCCTATAGGAAAATCAACCAAATTCCTATAGGAAAAAAGTCGAGAATCGACCCCCTGGCGGCATTCGTCAAATTTATTAACGTATGCGCTAAGAAATGATGATTTTCAAAGAGCGCTCATGACCGTTCGACAACCACTTTGTCGCATTCGTTTAGGTGAAAGTAAGGTTATAATTGTCAATCCTGCTTTATCATATGTGATTCGTGTTTCTATATATTGGTTTTGTTTTGTGATTTATTGGGGAATATTTATTTTTAATTTGACTCTTTTGAACATTTTATTAGTTATTAAAATATAAAAATTAAACTTTTTGTACCGTGAACTCTTTTATTGGACGTTTAGGTGCCACTTTATTTTGGTTTATTTTATTTAGTATGGATGATATAGAAGAAATATGAGTTTTACAGGCACTAAACAATGTTATAAATTCTACTAAAGTTTCACGCAATTTTTCCGTTATTCGTGAACCACGCTGTTCCATTTTTAATATTCTAAATCTAAACCACTCCAATTCTCAAGTCCAAAATACAAATAATCACAGTTAAAACGTCTAAAAACCAAAAATTATTAGACATCCAATCCATTTAATTTTATAATTTTTGGCAATTTTGACATGTGTCAATGCAATTATCTCATATTCAGTGATACCATCTTTGGTATTCTCAATCCTCATTGGTTAAGACTATGCAATAATCAAAGACTCTTCGTTAACACGTTCGACTTGATTCGCGATTATCGCATGGTGTTCAGGAATACTAAATTGCTGTCGTATGCGTTAACGACCATGCGTTACTTAGCGCATGCGGCAGTTAACGCATGTTTCGAGAATTGGGCCCCAGGATCTTAAAGAAAAATGGAAGCAAAATAGAACAATTTTTATGTGAAGGTCGGTGATGATCGGTGACGATCAACACAAGACACGATATGTAAAGCGGAAAATTTAAATCATCCAATAAAAACCATTTAACAAATTAGCAGAAATGCCAACCTGTCTAAGAATAAATAAAAACTATTAGACTACGTAGCTAGCAGTTAAATTCGTGATGAAAAACACTTCCATCCATGTTCCATCGGTAACAGGGACTTTGACTGCCAGCTACGATATAGCTGTCGGCTACGTAACAGCCACTTTGACTGGACATTGAAAAACCGACCCTAAGGGGCCTATTCAGTAACTCTGAACGACGTCGTTAATAGACGATAATCGTTCACAGACGACTTTTCTTATTCAGTAGACAACGATTGTCGTTGAAAATAGACAAATATGGTTGTAAAATTGTCGTTCATCAACGATAGCCAAAGAGCTGTCGTTAATAATATGAAGTGTCGTTATAGTGATTTTTGCATTCCCTCTCATTTTTTATTGTGAATCAGGATGTGTTCTAAATAATAAAAGCACTTTTTTACAAATTTTACAACTAAATTGCCATATACCTAATACAGCAAGTACAATTTGTAAGGAATTTTTTTCTAATTAGTTAATTATTTTAAAAATAAATCTGATTCAAAGTTAGGACTGCCCATTCAACCATTTACTATTGGATTCTTATTAACAGTCATGTTCCTAAAGTAGCACTGCGAAATAGTAACAAAACCTATATTATGGAAGTACCTATAATACTCCTCCGTAACCTACACAAATTTCGTTTGTCTTTCAAATCCAATAAATACAACTTGTACTGTTCTCGAGTTGTTTTTTGTATTTTTTTTTTTTTGGAATAGTTCTCAGTTTTTTTTAATATATCCATACTCATTTAAATAAACCCTACATACAATACGACCAGCAAAAATGGCCCGCGAGAAACAGAATTCCTACGAATCAAGAATCGACCCCCTGATCGTGTTGTAGGTTAAGAACAATAATTAATATATTCTGAAAAACAAATGAATATATCTAATGATAGAATTTTTATTTTACGTTCCAAAAAAATGTCAAATATACCGGGTGTTCAAATTAAAGAGTTACAGTTAAATACCGCCTCTTATAAAAAAAGTTTTATAGTTTTTTGGATAAAACATTTTGGCTAAAATGGTTTTTTTATATCAAACTATAATATGGCCAACTGTTTTTCGCGCAGCAAAATTTTCAAGTAGATGTTACTCAATAAGTAGAAATCCAATAAAAAAATGTTTCCTTTAGAAGTTTCTTATTTTTTTATGAACTCTAAGAATACCTATGTAAAAAAATAGAGTTCCAATTTGAAAAAAAAATCCACCTCGATATGGCCATATTATGGTCAGCTATAAAAAAAATTAATTTAGCCAAAATGTTTCCCCTAAAAAACTATAAAACTTTTATCTGATACTTTTTTTTTATAAAATGCATATTTTTGGCGATATTTAACTGTAAAACTTTAATTTAAACACCCGGTATAATCATCAACATACGTTCTTTTATCACAAAACACTAAATTATAATACCAACTTACTAGAAATCATCGTTCAGATTTGGTAACTAGAAACAACTTAACGACTTTGTTATTGAATAGAGTTTCAAAAATTATCGTTATAAAAGTCGTTGGTTGAACTGTCGTTAGCTTAACGATGTCGTTCATGAACGATAAATTACTGAATAGGGCCCTAAATGTGATGTGTGTTATATCATATGAAACTCGTTTCGTATTATGGCTCAAAATTTAAAAATCAGAACAATATAAAGTTACAATCTGTCATTAGTTTTATTAATTCGGATGCGCCCGAAGTATTTGCTCGGCTCGATACGAATGCGTATCACGCGTACGTAAGAACACGTATGTTTACGTAAGACGTAAATAGATACGTGAGAAAAATAGCTATTGCGCATGCGTAGATGTCATTAGATACGTTTACGTTTCTGGCATTTCTTTAACTCTCTATTATTAGGACTCATCAGCAAGCGATAGACATTCACGATTTTTAAGGAATCTGCTAAGGCGGTAAATTCACCCGCTTACTTAGACGGAGGTTGTGAGAAAATAAGTAGTAACAAAGCCAAGTGCGAAGGTTTTACTTTTTTACCTTTTGTTATTATAAATACTACAGTAAATATATGTTAACATCCTGTTATTACACTTAAAACATTTAAGTATATTACATTAGAAAACGGCACTAATAAATTATAAATAAAAAAGCTATAGGCTTGACAAAATAAGCGATACGCCACCTACAGTTTTAATTTGAAACCTTCCAGTGGGCCATTAATGTTTTGTTTACTCATGTGATTCAAGCATAATATCAGACCTTTTATATATTGTTTACATAATATAGGTTAATCTTACGGTTTCTGTTTGTATATGGTGTTTTAAAGACGTTTAATTCATAAAATTATTGTTTATTTTATCAAAATGAACCATCACTGTTGTGTTCCCATGTGTTCCTCTTGGGTAAAACTAAATAAAGAACTTAGTTTTAATACATTTCCCAAAAAAGGACAACGTGTTTTGGTAGAAACAAAATTAAGGAAACGAGAAGCTGTTGATCGGAGGGAGGAATGGATAAGAAAATTAAAAATTGGAAAGCCTGTGAGTCCGTACATGAGAGTATGTTCATTGCATTTCTCTGAAAACGATTATTTTTATAGAGGTTAGTATTTAGTCGTTTTTTGTGTTTCCGTATTAATAGTTTTTGTTTGTAGGGGACAGCTCTAAATTACATAGATTAAAATTTAATGCAGTACCGTCTAGGAAGTTACCTTTGGAAGATAAAATAGTATTATGTATTTAGATTATGGGTTAATGTAATATAAGGTAAACATATCTTTGCTAAATAAATACACTGCCACTATCTATAAAAATGTTTAATTAATACATATATAACCAACACTAAAACTAACAAAATCCTTTACACACTTTAAAAACGAAAAATTCAACACCTAATCTTACGAAAAACCTACGGCATATCATATGAAAACAAATGTAAATGTAAACAAACTATAAATGGCCCAGCGGAGGACGAAAAAGTGACCGGTAGAGGCGCTGGAGTCTAAGCTTTTTTCGCCTATTCATGCTGCGTTTGAGAATCCACATCGGATGCATCTGAGATGTAAAAAATCTTTGATCACGTGATGCAGTATACGTAAATGTAATGGGACAGATGTGTCCGATGTGGATAAAAAAACGCTCGAGATGTAAAAAATGCATCCGATGTGGATTCTCAAACGCAGCATCAATAAAAGTTACGAAGGAAAAAAAAATACAAATTTAGTTTTTTAAATTTTCGTTAGTGTTTGAACAATATCATATTTGTTAAGGTTTTTATTAATCTTGATATGTGATTTTCCTCCAAGGTTAGATACTCATAATTATGATTATTGATTTTTCGAAACAAATTTTTATTTTAAACTAATTGAGAATAAACATTTTTTAGCAGGTAATAATTATGATTATCTGTGATTAAAAATACTTTTTTTAAGATAATTCGACAGTTTTACAGTAGTACTTACAGCCGAAACTGTTAAATTACCCCATTTTTTCCTCAAAAATAATTTTCATTAGCTGTTGAGCTAGATAGTGAATTCTGGCCACTATAACATTTTATCAATTTTTTTGCAACATAAACAATGTTTTCTGAAATATCTAACAACTTAATTACATTGTCTGTATAATTATTTTCTAACATACAATAATTTAACTTTTCCATCCCGACTCCATGAACACGGTATGGAACACAGTGCCATTGAATAGAGAGAAATAGAACAATACGAATGAGTGTGGACCGTAATAACCCATGCTTGCCTTCGAAAGGGTGTGGTCAAATCAATTACCATCTTTATATGCTCTCACATCCAAATACAATTATGGTATCTTTATTTTGCCTGATGCGTCGGCTTAACATACTGTATATTTAAATAAATAAATAATGTTTATTGAGCAACTATATACATTAGTGTCTCAAAAGGAATGAATTCGGCTAAGCCGTTTTTCAGTTCATCCTCATTATAACAGAAAAAAATGTTCACAAAATAATTATTTTAAATTAAATCATTGTCTTGAAATAATAACTTACCTAAAATTCAAATATAAATTACTAAGTTCTGAATTCAACAATAATGGTGCTACGACAAGCTAAAACAAATCTGGAATTTTGAAGTTCTATGCATTGGGGTTGCAAAAGTGTTGACTTTTAAATTTACATTGTGTAAAGTTGATCTTTTTAGTAAGTAAATATTGTGGAATTTTAAACATTAAAATAAAAAAAAAAGAAATTAAAAATAAATATTTTACCCGTTCCTGAATGTATGGACAAACATGATTTCAATAAGGAATATTACAAGTAAATCTTATACAAGAATTTTGAATCTTCTCAAGTTTCTCTTGGTTATATTTAGTAAGAAAGTAGTAAAAATAAACTACCCCTGCAGAGTGCGGAATAAAATAATAAACTTCAAAGAAACTAATTAATATTTGTTTAGTATACATATATCAATGGCTTAAATGCAAAACATCGTAACACACAAAATTTCAAAAAATCACTTTTCGCGTCATTGGAGTTTTAGCTGCGTCTTGGGAAAATCTATCTTAAGTCACAGTATAAAATGAAATTAATTTTACGCGCCAACACAAAAAGTTGCTCTACGAAATTACATCTAAAGTCTATTTGGTTTTTTTATTCCTCTGTAAAATGTACTTTTTGGGGTTACGACGTTTTGCACTTAAGCCATCCATATATTTTTTTATTGACATACAGTGTATTATGTTAACTTATAATTATTATAACAGTTGAGATTACCTAATAACTTTTTTATTTTTTGAGAATATCCAAAATGTGAGATTTTGCATCTTGGTATTTATAATATTGTTTATATAACAAATCCAGAGGAATCTCTTTCAAAAGATTTTTCTCCCACAGAGAGCAAGGAACTATACCTTTTTCCAAGGCATTAAATGTTGGGATTAGATTCATATATTTCACCATTCTTTTGTATTTGCTAATTTTATGATTAGGGTTTTGAACTAGTTTGCTGTAAGAACCAATGCCTGTCTGAACCATTAAAGAATTGATAGATAATTGTATGTTATTTTTAACACCAAATAAATCAAGAAACAAAATTTTCTGTTCTTTATCTATTTCTTCAACTGTCCCATAAATTTCTCTATCGGATAATAACTCCAAAAATTTTAGAAGATCGGTAGAGTTCCATGGTTCTTTCTGATCTACAAGAATATAAACCTTGAAGTTTCAAAGTAAAAAAAAGTATTATAGACTTACTTTTTGGTGAAATATAAGCCAAACAGGCTCTAATTGTAAATCTAGGAACACTACAATGTTTTTTAAAAATATAATACACATCATCAATTCCAACATTCACTGTTTGCCCATAATCAATAAGAAATACCCTTAACTTTTTCATATCAGGTAAAATTGATGGTAAAATAATAGCTCTATAATATTTGGAAGCTCTACAAACAATACAAGTGGAGTATTTTTTCAAGTGGTACTGAGCCATTGACATTTTTTGGACACTGTAAAATTGCGTTAGATAATTTTCATATGCATTCCTTTCTTTTATATGAAGTACTACCCAAAATTTTGAGGGATCATAAACGTTTTCAATTTTAAAATGATATGCTTCTTGCTCCTTTATGTGGTCTATTTTATATGGAATTTCATTTGTAATTGTATTCATATTCAAAAATTCTTATTTTATTTATTAATTTTAATTCAGAATTATAGTTATACTTAGTTTTTTTTTATTTATACATTTAAAAACAAAAACATTTTTGTGGTTATTAAAAAAATCACTTCTTTTGGAGCGCGTTCAGGAAACACGAAACACGCTCCGACCAAAAAGAACGCGATCAGTTCGTTCAAGAACAGTCGAGCGTTCAATTTGGACGTTTAGCTATTCGCGATTCAAATTAATTTTCGCGCGCCTGTCATTTGTCACGTATAAGTAGGATGTTTGTTTATTTACGTGTTGTGGGATTTTGTATTTGTGATTTTTTAACTGTTTTTAGATAATTCTTATTATAATAGTGTTTTTGAGTTTCATTTAGTGTTAATTTAAGTTTAGTTTTCGTGCTTCCGTTATACATGTAATATTTTTCATGTGTAGTATGAACTAATTTGTTGGAAATATTGACCTATTGGTTGCTAGAAGAATATCTAGAAATATGTATTTACTAAACCCAGGACATGTTTTATTATGTGGTTTCAAGGACATATCAGGTACCAAACGTTTATTATTGATGAACTTTTTTAAAAATCTTACTATCCTTATTCTTATATCATGAAGTGAACTGTGTAGTACTTTGTATACATGTAAATGGTAATAAAACCGTGGAGTTTGATTCTAAACAACGTTTTGCAAAATTTCAATATTGTGAATTTGTAGATACCCATTTATCGTAAGAAACAAAATTTCATGACTTGCACTTGAAAAATAATGAATACTTCAGTTTTGATTTTGACAATAACACCATATAGATTGCAATTTGCTGGAGGCTTTTTCACAGATTTCATTTTTAATTTAAATACTATCACATACTACAAGAAATAAACGAATTTAAAGCTAAAAAGTAACAAAAAAACTAATTGTAATTGATACAAATTAAAATGTAAACAATGAACACGAACGCAAATGTTGCCAAATGATGAACTGAAATTTAAAAAAAATCAATATAATAAATCGATTTTATAAAAAAATCCTTAAATAAATATAGAGTATGATTACATATTACTAGACACAAATTTTGATTCTTAAATAAAAGGTCTTATCCATTTCTTCAAGAACTAAAATCCGACGACGTAACGAAATTTTGCTGCTTCTGGCAACACTGAACGTCATCCTACTTATAGGGACCTTCTACTAATTTCCTCCAGAGGGCGTATCACTTAGCTTGAATCGCGAATTCTCGTTCAGAAAGTCGAGTCAAATCAATGAACTGGAGTGGGGTAGAAAGTCAATGTGCATATTGTCACAGAATAACCACCAAAAGTATTCTGTGCATAGATAAATTAATAAAACAAGATGAATTTTTTAAATGCACGCCACTGTCAACCAATGAACTGGAGTGGGGTAGAATGCTTGTCAATAGGCTTAACATGCGACTCTATGGGCAAAGACAGGTTATTTTTCATCTCACTCGGGAGTATTTAAAACAACCATTTTCTATTTCACTTTGTTATTGTCTGAACCACCAGCATGTGGATTGAACAATAACAAAGTGAAACAGAAAATGGTTATCATAAATACTCACGAGTGAGATGAGAAATAAAAATGGCTGCGCCCATAGAGTCGCATATTGTTCTATTGATACAATCATTGCGTTCGGTTTGCCACGTTCCTTTAACTCCTTTAACACTTTTAACTCCAAACGACTCTTTGAGCGTTCGGTTTAGTCCGATGAGTGACAGTTTAACACGCTTAAATGTCATTTAAAAGCACCCTAAAATTTGTCCCGCTCCAGCCCCTGACTGACCGAACTCGCCTAATATGCACATTGGCTTTCTACCCCACTCCATTTCATTGCTGTCAACACGTGGTAGTTCCCAGCATACTATTAGTTAGCGCCACCGTCGCAATAGTATGAAAGCGATGTTGCCGGTTTCGGTAAACTTTCATGAGATGAGAGTTATTTCAAATTCATCTTACTTTAGGGTCGGTTTTTCAATGTCCAGTCAAAGTGGCTGTTACGTAGCCGACAGCTGTATTGTAGCTGGCAGTCAAAGTCCCTATTACCGATGGAACATGGATGGAAGTGTTTTTCATCACGAATTTAACTGCTAGCTACGTAGTCTAATAGTTTTTATTTATTCTTAGACAGGTTGGCATTTCTGCTAATTTGTTAAATGGTTTTTATTGGATAATTTAAATTTTCCGCTTTACATATCGTGTCTTGTGTTGATCATAGATTACGGTGTTGATCGTCACCGACCTTCACATAAAAATTGTTCTATTTTGCTTCCATTTTTCTTTAAGATCTTGTTATTTTCTGGTTTTGGGCAATTGGTGATTTAGAAAAAAGAGAAAATATCTATTACGCGGCATCAGATAGAGCCCTACTATTGAAATTTGCTTATCTTACAGAATGTAAAAAAAAAACGGAAAATGCAATATCACGGAAACGAAATGAGAAGGTTGCAGAAAAAATGTATAATAAAATTCTTTTCATCAATATCAAAATAATTGGGCCGTTCCCTTACAATACACGGATTACACGGTCATCTTGGCTCATATTAAATTAAAATAATTTCTTTGTCATCGTTGCTGTGAATGTATTCAAATAAATCCATTTTTGAAAATAATAAAATTAATAAAAATATTAACATCTAAATTTGACAAACAACGTCCTACGCATGTACAATAAATAGCTGGCGGCTATCTATACGAAAGGTTTGTTCCAACACAAACCAAATCAGTTTGCGTACTGTCGAGATTCTGCGCAGTCTAGAATTTGTGTTCCAACAAACCTTAGACTCGAAACTGTATAGGGACCGTGCGTGAAATATAGAGGCAGCACTACTGCCGAACTTAGCCCTCTCTAGTGTTTAATTTTAGAATTAAATGGGGTAAACATTGCAAGTAAATAATGAAGGGTATTTTTTTAAATATTAAATATAGTTAAAAATAGATACCGGCCCGTACCAAACAATCGTGTACATGGTCAAAATGACGTAAAATGTGAAACATTATTAAAATCTGGACATGCATATACATTTTAAGCAAAAAGATTTAAATGGCTAAGTGACAATAAATTGTAAAGTTGTACCTTAAACAAGTGTATCCAATGTTAAAATATAGGTATTTAGTAACACTGAATTTAAAAGTATTACAATAACATTTAAAAAATGTAAATTAATAAAAAAGATTGATAATAATAATTACAAATCTTTTTAGCTTTATGTTAATCGAAATGTCATTCATCCACTGGCGTTTATGAGATGTTCAATGATACATATATTATAGATTGCTCACCCAACTATAAAAAAATTATGAAAAGCTGGTTGCAATGTGCCTTTCCTAGTGCTCACTAAATAGAGCCGTTCTAGCCCAAATGTGTTAAAATAAAATTTCAGCATTTTAATCTTTAGAAAAAGATAATAATTAAAGTTTTACTTCAAGATATGTCATTATGTATTTGGAAAGTTGAGTTTTCATGTAGTTAAATAATATTAAGAGATCTAAACAATTTTTATAACAGATGGATATAAATAATTTTAGACTACTATTTCAGAAACAATTCTACATAAAATACATAATTGCAATATGTAATACAATTTTGAAAAGGTAATGTAAACAATTTTGATATGAGGTATGAACAACTTTGGTAAGAGTTGTAATTGGACACTTATCTATTCTGAATAATGTTTAATGGTAATGTCACTAAAAAAATTTACAAAAAATCACTGGATTTTTAATATTTTAAAGTTTGTTACAATCTCTTTTGACAGTAATTGCAATGTATTATTTATGATTTGTTTATTTTAATAATAAATGAGAAATAGTTAATAAATTGTAAAGAGGGCCGTGATATTTTTGTCAAATTGGATATTCTTATTTCATAACATTCTATATTAGTTTTAATCAACAGAATAAACCATTATCTGTAAAATTATATTTATATAAAATGGTCATTTAAATATGTAAAAATCTTAATGACAAGAAAACACTAAAGATTCTAATTTTTCTGTAAATGATTTCTTTACAACTAAGTGCTCAAAATTGATACAAGCTAGATAAAAAGAAAACTTTGCCCAGTGAAATACGCTTTTCGTCGTCTGATTTACATATGGATAAGCAATCTTTGTAATTATGTATATCATTGGGTGTGAGGCATAATTGTGCTCTGTGGAAATTTATAAAATTTCTTTACTATCGAATGAAATCCAGGTTTCTAAAGTGATGTGTTTGTACATCCACGGATGCAACAAGTTTTTTCGATATTGATATTACGAAAATAATTCGACTTCATTTTATTAATAATTATTAAACAATAAATGCCGTATAAAACATTAATAAATACCCCCCAAAAAGTTCGTATTTTTGTCACCAGTTAGCGTTAAAGTCATGACGCACGGTCCCTATAAATACATCGGAGGTACTGTGTACTGTCAAATCAGTTCATTGGTCTGAATAGGAACGAATTGTCAAGACATGCGCAAAGCCGCAATAAACTGAACATATCGTGATTGTAATTATATTATTTGTAACTATTGTCTCTGACAGTTCTGATTTGTATTTGTTAATCGAGTTTACTCTTTATAGTTTTTGTTCATGATCATTTATTTTATTTTGTGGTTTATTATTGTAATAATGCGTCTGTTGAATTTAAAAAATGTGTTCCAACATAATCGACTTCCAAGTTGAGTCCCAATCCCCGACCAGTACCTGACAAGTTGTCAATTACTAGTCATCGACAGATTGTCAACAATAAGTTTTGGACTGGTTTATGTATTGTTCCAAGATCGTTGTTGGAACAAACCTCCAATTACCACTTGCAAGTGTCGGTTACGGCTATCGTATAACTGGAGGTCGAAAGCTGCGCAGTGCGACCATTCTCCGTATAGTAAAAGAAAATCAAAGTATGTGGGGCAAACGATCTAAGAAAATTAGTCTACTCCCGTGCAGAGATAAGGGAGATAGGAAACGCCCATAAGAAGCCAATGCTTAACAACGACCAGCTTTATCGCAGTTAACATCTGACCCACTATGTGGCGCTTTCATCAAAATCAAACAATGCAGCGGGAAATTTAAAAACCTGATAATAAAGATTGCATAAACATCGACTGCACTCTCATGTTCTTGAAAATAAACTTAAACAATGTAATTACGCTAAATTATTTATTAAAAAGAATACTACACTTACAGTCTATTATCG